TTTGAAATAAACAGACGTTTTGAAATAAACAGGCATGCAGATCAAAATACACAAACTAAAACAGCAAGTTAAATTTTAACTCGGGGTTATCACTAGTCCAGCTTTGAACAACCGGCCCCAGAGTACTTACACATACGGTACTTATAACTATAACGGTATAACCTACACTTATTTAAAATTTTCTAATATTATATAATTATATTATTTATGGCCAGAAATAAATATTGAGTATCTAAACGTCAATAATTGTTAATTGTCAAGTCTCACTCAGATGGTTTGCTTTTAGTTTCTCCTCTTCGAGCCCCACAACATTTGTCCTGTACCGTTTTTGCATAGCAGCTCTCTTTCTGTAGACTGTATCGTCCAGAGCAAAAGCTGAAAAAATAGGAATTGATAAAATCATATGTTTACATGTTTTAGCTTTAATTACATGTTACATGTTTTAGCTTTAATTGGCATTAAGGCAGCAAGAATAATCTAGTGTTAGGCCAAATATGGGATGCCCTTAGGGTAGCCATATCTGATGGGTTACCAGGTATATGTTGGCTTAACCATCTACTAGATTACATTCGATTCAATTAACACTATTTTTGTAAAGTATATATTACAGGAGACTTTAGGACTTACTGACGAGTTAGTATATGAAGCATGAAAAGATATGTAAATTTGTTTGGTATCAGACAGAGTAAATTAACAAGACGGAGCACATTAGGACAAATTGCAGGTCAATGGGTCCAGCCACAGCCTTCCCCCTGCATTATTGCAGGCTTATGGACAGCTTTACATGTACTGTACTGACTTATTCATGACAGAAAACTGGCTATTGCACACTGACCCTTTATCTAAACTAACTGTTGTACACTATGCTCAATTTTTGCTATGGCGCAGATAAAATTGGTACCTGTTGTCCTGTACCAAATTTATTTGTGCTCGTCCTGTATGAATATAGGTAGTCCATGCATGGTAAACATGTTAAGGGTACCAAAATTGAGCACAGTATAAACAGGCCTTAAAATGGGCTGCATTTGGAGGTAGGCTTAGGATTCATGTGTAATTGTGTTGATACTATAGTTACTAAATTCTTGATGCAGTATCAAGAAATAATTCCTACAAACAACCTCCTTAGAGGCTGTTTACAAGATCCAGACTGATTACCTGGCTTGGATGGCCACCTTGGCTGGGACAGTTTGCCATTTTCTTCATATAATTTATAAAGCACTAAAAGCAGACTATTTACTCTTTTTCTTACCTAATACAACACTAGTTTGTCAACTCAATCCAGATATTCCTGATTGTTGAGAACAATATTTGGAGCTGGGCTATAACCTGGCCGGCTCCAACATAATATAGCAAATTTTGTCAAATATAACAAATTGACAAATAATATAGTATGAGTATTGTATAACGTTGTACGCTGTTTAGCTTGCCTCTTCGACTTCGGTTTCAAATTTCCCTTGTTGTTGTTGTGGATGTCTGCATGCAAACAACGAAAAGCAAACAATCGATACATGCAAACAATCGATGAGACATTTCATCTTATCACACCAGCTAAAATTTCCTTTAATATTTGCTATGTCATGATTTCAATGTTGCCATTTTTGTAAAACAAATTGCGATGTAAACAGTTTCAAAACAGAACAAGAATGGCGGTGAAATCACGGCGACCTTTGACAAACGCATTGCAGAAAACGTAAATATTTTCGCCGGAAATTGGCCGATTTCAAACCGGATATTAGATTTAAATTGATGCACGTGTTTTAAAAAATCAAACAGGGGTCCACAAAAATGGTAAAATAACTTTATAACAAATTATTTCGCAAAAAAGGTTTGCTTACCTGAGTTTGCTTCGATGTTTTCCATGATATTTCCACCGGCCCGCGTCGTCAAAATGATTAAAAAGACCCCACGAAAACGCGTCAGTTGAAGAAAAAACTATCTATACTAATAACTAGGATAATAATTGATTTGACTACGCTGAAAAAGTATCTAGAAACTTGATAAAACGAGAGAAAACTGCCATAAAACTTGTTGCCTCACTCTTTGACTTTCGAACAATAAAAAAATAGAATTTTGCGTTTTGCATAATAAGCCTCGTTTTCATGTTATGCGAAGGCGCGGTTACTAAGTTTCGCAATTGGTCTATAGTGAAAATAAATTTATTTGAAGTGAATTTTTATAAAGTTGTGTTGATTATTGTTTGTAATAGCATAGTTGCCCGGGTTTCTTTTGTTTCAACAGGGACGTTTAATCACGTATCGCCCGCTGTAGCGGGCGATTAGTTCTAATCGCCCGCTAGAGCGGGCGATTAGAACTAATCGCCCGTTACCAAGGGTCACACCTTTGTCTCCCTGACGACTACGCATTAGGCAAGTGCCTCACGCACATAATCGTGCAAGGAACAGCAACAGTTAGCTCAGAGCCGTCAATAGTCTATCATCCGATCCCTGAGTTGCCGCATCATTTAAATTACACACGTGCAGTCTCCAAATTTATACTAATATATTTAGCGTGTTTGTTGTGGTACGTTAAATGATAGATTGCGCATGCGTAACCGATTAAAGCGTAAAAAGTGCTCATGTGCAACAAGCTTTTACATCCCACAAGCAATGAAGCAAATGTTTTAGCTTAAATACGCTGATTCCAAGTAGGGCATGTTTGTCCATTTTTAAATGGGAGCGAAACTATGTTATTACAAACTAATAGCATGGCTTTTCGGGAGATTAGTGATTAAATGACCCCTTACCCTCGGCAGGTTTGCGGAATTCCCTCGGGCTTCGCCCTCGGGAATTCCGCAAACCTGCCTCGGGTTACGGGGCCATTTAATCACTAATCTCCCTCAAGCCATGCTATTACTTATAATAAACACCTGGAAATTCATACTAAAACAATTATTTGCCTCAGGCTCGGTGATTACAAGCCTATAATTATTCACTTTGCCTTCGGCTCAGTGAATATAGGTTTGTAATCACCTCGCCTTCGGCGACTAATTGTTAAATAGACGACTATTATACAAGACTATAGAGACTAAACAACACTATACAACGTTATACAAGACTATACGACACTATACAACACTATATGTCATTTCGATGTTTTCCTTCGTGGTTGAGTTAATAGTTATATACCCTGTGCCTGTGAGCAGAGCCTTAATATCAAGTCTTCAATAATTTTCACGTTTTCCTTCGTAAATCATAACAACATTTGCCAACATTGAACATGCCTGCATCATTCTGTCGTGATATTTAAGCGGTCTATATAACTTATTACCAATAAGTAAACATTGTCAACACCGTATACTAATAATTGGCTAAAACGTACCTGCAAAAAATAATTTTCTAACGAAATTATTGTCTTTTATTTGTGAAGAAATTATCGTTTTTTATATTTTTTATCATGGCGGAAAGTACAGAACGAGAGCTTTACGGTGACTTACGAGCAATTTCCGACTGACAGAAATCCAAATTTCTTCTATATTTTTAATCAAGCTGCATCATTATAACTCGGTCAAGGAAACTGGCACGAGTCAAACGTCAAATTCAGTTGTCAAGAATATTGTGCTGCGTACTGCAGCAAAAATTCACAATAACGACAACGATTCCTCGAAATTTTTGAGAACTTGGCCAAAGGACAAAAGAATATTTAAATAAAACAACTGAAATTGCCTAAATAACCTTCAAAGCACAATAAATCACCACAAACATAAATCGTATACACGTAATACACCCCCCGGAAAGTTAACACTATGACTGACTGATGTGAATTTTCCCACTCATCACAATAGTGCACAGTTTCAAAGAAACTCTGCACTAAAAACTATATTAAATCTGGTACAAATTTCGGAACTTTTTTCATATTATCTTTAAAATTGATATGGTCGAATTTGGAAAACAATAGCTGCAGCAAAAAATTGTCAGTGTTTTCTAATTTGTATCTTTCTCCAACAGAACATCCAATAATATTATACACTGAGCATATACAATCCAGAACTCAGAAGAAATGTCTTTTGGATTGTCTATGCTCTTACGACCAGCTATCATCCTGCAATTCGATATTCGTTGCTTGAGCTCTGATATTATTTACATGAGTGCAGTAAAGTAAGCAGCATATATTCACGAGTCTTTGTCAACAATATATAACACAATTGATAATATAATAATTAAGACTTTTATAACGCAAATTAACATTTGCATATGATGAAATGCGCTTTACAAGAATTGATATAGACATATAAGATAGTATTAATTAATTAATTAATACAACTAATCTATTTACATACATTGCTCTTAAGATAATTAATCTACTTAAACATTAAAAGCAAGTGAGTCTTTAAAGTATTTCTTAAAACTTTTAAAATTGTAGTTAAAAAAAACACCTTGCATCTCAGCGTAAAATTGCTAAGGCTGTAATGGTGTATTTAAATCTCTGAATGTTCTTTTTCCAGATTACCTAGCGGAAATGTCTGTCGATCGCAGTGACGTTACAAATTATACATTGGGAGACACCGGAGGCACATTAACTTTACCTCAACCACGCATTGAAAAATAGTTTTAGCTACAGTGGTGCGGTACTGTGGAACACCCTTTCAGCCGAGATACCAACGCAGGCAGCCGAGAAGCCCTGGAAACGAGGATGTCGAGATACGACAAGCTAACACTTTACGTAAATTCAAGTCTGACTGCAACAACTTCATACGATCATTTTCAAGTTTGTATCTTTATGTTAGTAATTGTACGGCACTCATTGAAAACAGGTACTTTTATAAATGGATATGTATATAAAATTGTAATATGTAATTTTTTATTGTATTCTATTCTATAATTGGCGTTGTAAAATCCTGATAAGTTTACCGTGGTTAAATAAAGTTCACTTACTCATTCACACAGCGTTCCATCGCATTCAATGCCGCGGCCTAACTCACTTCGCCATCTGGCTTGAATAAAAGCTAAAGTTCAGAACCGTCCGCATATACATGAACATCTGGAAGATGATTCACATCATTTTCAGTTACAGCCACAATTGTGAAAACAAGCTGCTTCCTCAAGTCCTAGGTTTTCTAAAGCCGTATCTAATCTAAGACAGATGAAGTATGGCCCTGACGCTTCCACTTTCTTCTTGGAATTTCTTTCTTCTCTCTCCATTTCCTTCTCCGAAATGTCGCTCTCACTTTCTTCCTGAAAAACTACCCATTCTTTTTCACATTCCAATTTAGCTTTATCTTGCCATCCATCTTCACATTCACTTTTTTCATCCTTGCATTCAGCCTCAAAACTCTCAGACGTAGTTTCATTCTCATCCTCGATTTCCTGTTCAGACTCAGACTCGTCTTCATCAAAACAGTAAGAACTCGCTAACTCGTGCTGTTCTGGTAAGAGAAGCTCATCCACTTCGCAAACCCCATAGGCAAACACCTGTTTCTGGTTATTCTTGTCATGAACGAAAACGAGCGAACCTGAGTCACCGCCTTCCAAGAATGGACAACTACATCCCTTAACGGCGAATGCATCCTGGATTAATGGCTCCTGTTATTATTATAACAATTTATTTACACACGGTAAAATCTACAGTAGTTACAAGAAAGACAATAAACTAATACTAATACTGGTTTACAAGATCGCCGTGTGGGGGCTCGTTTATTCGTCGGGGGCTCGTTTATTAACAGCTTTTTTAAATTTAGCCTGTGTTTGAAACTTTCTTATTTCTTGAGGAAGGCTATTCCACAATAGTGCACCACTATAACAAAAGCTTCGTTTTAAGTAATTTGTTCGTGGCTTAGGCAAATTCAGCCTCATTTCAGAATTTCTTAGGTTATACCCAGTTCCGCGAATGGAAAAGAATTCTTGTAAATAACTGGGAACATTACTCTTAAGTGTTTTAAACATAAGACCAAGTTTAAGTTTTTGTCGTCTT